CGGCACCCTGCGCTCCCCGGGCCAAAGGGCTCCTAAGCAGCCGCACGGAAGGCAGCCTGCGGAAACATGGAGTTGGCCCTCGTTACTCATGTCCCCACATTCATCACTTTGCATAAATATTTAGGTTCCAGCCCTTGGAGATGTAGCGACACGTTCACAAGGCTCCGGCTGTTGGTTTTGCCATTTCTATGTTGTCATCTCATTCATCATCCAAGAATCCTTTTAGCGCATTAGTCCGAGCTCTCCTCTTCTGCAGGGAACTGCAGCCTTTAAAAGGCTCGGAGCAAAGCCCGGGACGCCGGCGTGCCTCCGCTGCCGTTACCTGTCTGGTTTTGGGGTGGCAGGGGAGGGCGTGTGGCAGCCTGAGCAGGGGCAGAGCCTGTGGGGTGCTGCCCCAGGCCCCGCAGTGGTGATCCCCCTCTCTCCTTTCAGTTCGTGCCAATCTCATCCCCAGCCCCCCCACCTTCAACTCTGACTACGGCTACATCAGCTGGGAGGCCTATGCCAACGTCAGCTATTACACCCGTGTCCTCCCGCCCGTGCCGGACGACTGCCCGACGCCCATGGGGACCAAAGGTACGCGGTCGGCACTGCGTGGTGCCGGGCGAGAGGCTGAGTTGCTGGAGCAGCATCCCAGGTCCGTACCCAGGGCAGCATCGGTGTTTCCCCCCTGCTCATGCCTGAGCTTTTGCTGCCATGGACACATCTGCGAGGCACCGCTGGCAGTGCCACGCGGTGCCACTTGCCTGCCCAAGTTGGCCCCACGGGCAGGAGGAGCTTGATGGCACCCGAAACGCTGCGGGGACAGCCCAGGTTGAGCTGCTGGGGCACGTCGGAGCCTGTGTAAGAGGGCTGCAAGGTGTCCATGCAGACGAGGCAGTGGCTGGTGCTGCAGCACGACAGCCCCGCGGCAGCACCGGTACCCACCTGGGTCAGCGTGGGGCATCTGCCCTCAACCTCCATCCTTCCCAGGGAAGCAGCAGCTCCCCGACCCCCAGCTCCTGGCTGAGAGGTTCCTGCTGCGGCAGAAGTTTCAAGCTGACCCCCGAGGCACCAACCTGATGTTCGCCTTCTTCGCCCAGCATTTCACCCACCAGTTCTTCAAGACGTCGGGGAAGATGGGACGTGGCTTCACCAAGGCGCTGGGGCATGGGGTGAGGAGCACCGGAGCGGGGGGCGCAGGGGCATGCAGGAGCGAGGAGGGGGCCCGGGGCGTTCACAGCTTCGGAGCAGCCAAGACCCTGCGCTCTCTCCGCAGGTGGACCTGGGGCACTTGTACGGGGACAACCTGCAGCGGCAGCACCAGCTGCGACTCTTCAGAGACGGGAAGCTGAAATTCCAGGTACCACCTGGCACCACCAAACTATGTCTCAGCCCTGTGATCCAGGGCTGTTTGAAGCCCACATGTGGAGCACGTCCAGGGCCCCCTCAGTGGCTGCTGACCAGAGGTGCTGTGTCACGGGGATGAGCTTTGGGTCAAGCTGTTCTGACAGCAGCAGCCATCCTGCAGTTGGGGCTGTACGAGGGGGATGTTTCCATCCTGCTCAGCACTTGCAGGAGAGCGGCCGTGGTGCCCGTAGGGAGGCAGGTCCCAGCTGGGCAGGCTTTCACCAGGGTGGTTTTCTCCCCTCCTCCCTTTCTGCCATCCCGTTCTTGTCTCCCCAAGGTGGTGGATGGAGAAGTGTACCCCCCCACGGTCACTGACGCTCCGGTCCACATGGTCTACCCGTCTGCCATCCCCAAGGAGCAACAGCTGGCGATGGGGCAGGAGGTGTTTGGGCTGCTGCCAGGGCTCTGCATGTACACCACGCTCTGGCTGCGTGAGCACAACCGCGTCTGTGACATACTGAAACGGGAGCATCCCACCTGGAGCGACGAGCAGCTCTTCCAGACGGCTCGTCTCATCCTCATCGGTGAGGACTGACAGTGCTATGGGTCGTGGGCACCACGGAGCCCCGTGTCCCACCTCCCCGGGCAGCCCCAAGGATGTGAGTGTTGGTCGATCTCTGTTTGAGGGTGGTGGCCAGACTGGCTTCAGACGCTGGAGGAGTTTCTTTGCAGCCTTCTGGGGATCATCGCCTTTGGTCTGTACAGCAAAAACTGGCTTTAGTCCATAAAAAAATTTATTTTTGAATAATTTGGTCATAATTTTGAATTGCTTCATTTTAATGTTCTATTATAAATTTACTATAATCTCATGAAATATCATTTTTTACTAAAATCCAGAAAAAAAGCCGTGTCTCTAAGGAGATATTATCTCTAAGGAGCGTAAAGTCAGCTTCCTCAGGAGCTATTTTGGTTTTGGCAGACTGACCTTTGCTGGTGAAAAAATAATTTGCTGAAAAATTCCCAACCAGCTCAACGAGCGTGCAGTCAGAAAGGTCCCAGGTGGCGGACGGGCGCTGGGACGCGTGGGTAGCATCTTGAGGTGCAGAGGTGGTAGCTCCTGCTGCTGCCAGCTGACGGCTGCTTCTCTCACCTCCTGCCCAGGGGAGACCATTAAGATCGTCATTGAAGACTACGTCCAGCATCTCAGCGGGTACTTCCTCAGCCTCAAGTTTGACCCCGAGCTGCTGTTTGGGACGCAGTTCCAGTACCGGAATCGCATCGCGGTGGAGTTCAACCAGCTCTATCACTGGCACGGGCTGATGCCTGACTCCTTCATCATCCAGGAGAAAGAGTACAGCTATGAGCAGTTCCTCTACAACACCTCCATGCTTATGGACTACGGCGTGGAGGCACTGGTGGAGTCCTTTTCCAAGCAGGTTGCAGGAAGGGTAAGGTCCTGCTCTCCCCTCTGTGCCAGCGCCGGGGCTGTGGGACCGTGGCAGGGATGCCAGCCGGGCTGATGCCTGACTCCTTCATCATCCAGGAGAAAGAGTACAGCTATGAGCAGTTCCTCTACAACACCTCCATGCTTATGGACTACGGCGTGGAGGCACTGGTGGAGTCCTTTTCCAAGCAGGTTGCAGGAAGGGTAAGGTCCTGCTCTCCCCTCTGTGCCAGCGCCGGGGCTGTGGGACCGTGGCAGGGATGCCAGCGGTGCCATGAAGGCAGAGTTGCCATGCTGTCAGGTCACGAAGCCAAGCTTGGGGACTCGCAGGGTGGCAGGGGGGTTCTGAGCTCCTCTTCTTACACGGTGCAAAGCTCCGGTCCAAGACATCGCCTCTCCTGCAGCACCAGGGGCTCAGCTGGAGCACACCAGTACCTGGCCTCCTGCTCCAGCAGCAGGTCGCTTGTCACTCTGCCCAGGGCAGCACCCAATGGGCACATCGTGAGTCCATCCCACAGCAACCTTGGCAACCCTGTCGGCTCATTCTTGGGACTCCATAGCAAACATTGTGGCGATGCCGGGAGCCCTCCGTAAGCTGGCCCACGCAGCCGGGATCTCCTGGCCCAGTCGGGGCTGTGGGACAGCCTGGGCACTGGAGCAGCTTGCCCGGCGCTATTCTTTGCTGCCATCACATGGATGTTTTCTTCCAAGCCATTACATCGACGTTTCTGACTGACTTTTCTTGTGCAAAGCAGCGAGGCTGAGGCGCAGACCTGCTGCTCCTCGGGTGTTCAGGTTCGCCCCGTGACCCCAAACCCCAGGAATGTCTCCCCTCCTCCTGGGCCGGTGGGTCACCATCCATCCGAGGCTTCTCCTGCCCCATTCCCTGGCCCGCGCTGGGAACGGGATTGACTTTAACCCAAGCTGCTCTACAGCTTTTTTTTGGCAATGTCCAATGATTCCCCCTCTTCTCGCTGCTGCGATGACTCACTGGTCTCCCCGACACCATGCCCAGGACATGGATGCTTTAGTGCGGTGGCTCCTCTGGAGCAGATGCTGATGCTGCCTCGTGCCTTACGCGTCCTCCTCCTTGTGTTCTCGCCCTCCAGATCGGCGGGGGACAAACCATCAATGCCAACGTCTTGCAAGTGGCCGTTGGGGTCATCA